TTTGGACAATTTAGGTAAGGCCCCTTCCTGTTCCAACATGACTGTGCACTAGTGCACAAAGCAAGGTCCATAAAGACATGGATGAGTGAGTTTGCAGTCAAGGAAGTTGACTGGCCTGCACAGAGTCCTGACCTCAACCCGACAGAACACCTTAGGGATGAATTAGAGCGGAGACTGCGAGCCAGACCTTCTCATCCAATAACAGTGCCTGACCTCACAAATGTGCTTCTGGGAGAATGGTCAAACATTCCCATAGACACACTCCTAAACCTTGTGGACAGCCTTCCCAGAAGAGTTGAAGCTGTTATAGCTGCAAAAACTGGGCCAACTCAATATTGAACCATATGGACTTAGACTGGGATGTTATTAAAGTTCATGTGCGTGTAAAGGAAGGCGTCCCAATACTTTTGGCAATATAGTATACATGCAAACAAAGGCCCACACATAATGTATGTTATACAAGTGCTTTCATGCACATCACTGAAATCTTATTTGCTATAATTTAATATTGGATCTGTAATGTAAGGAACATTTTGTATTTTACAGTCCATAATAGCCTGTCTACAAATGCACACATGAAAGCGTGCAAAAGTCACAAAGTGCAATTGAACAACAGTCTGCAGTACATCATATGCATAGCTACAAATCCTCAGATAACAATGGCAACACTCCAGGCAGTCAGGGAATTGGATATACAGTATATGATGAACGCACCAAAGGTGGAGAGAATATCAAAAAGGCGGACCGGGTGACAGGTTAGGATATTATGAAATACAGTAGAGGGCAGCATAGTGCCAAATGCACACAGCAAAACTTAGAAAGGGTGGGGTTATGCTGAGGACTCCCTGAGCAGCTGTAATAAGTCCAATAGGGGCATCAAAGCATCTTCTGTTAATACATCAAGCACCTTGACAGCTAAAGTAGTGTATAAGAGCAGTCAAGTATATAAAAAAAAAAAAGGCGAGTGGAGTTCTGACTCCCGATTGCCCCGTGTTATAATGAATCCAAGCCACCCAAATAGAATAAAATCGTTCATATTTGTATTTGGCCAACCATTCCTCAGCCTCCATGATATTACTCACCAACCTCGCTTAGTACGTCTGACTAGAAACCTGTTATTTTTGAGATGAGGGGGAAGAAACTTAAATTACTATTTCTGTTCTGAAAGAGATTGAATACGAAAGTGCAGTAACATAGTTAGTCTGGCTGAAAAGACACAAAAGTCCATCCAGTTCAATCATAAGAGAAAAAAAAAAAAGTTATAATCCTATACCCACAGTTGATTCAGAGGAAGGCAAATAAGAAAGAATCCAGGCCTTTTTTGAATCAATCCACTGAGCTGGCCAGAACCAACTCTTGAGGGAGCCTATTCCACATTTTCACACCTCTCACTGTGAAGAAACCTTTCCGTGTTTCGAGATTAAATTTATTTTCCTTCAGACGTAAAGAGTGCCCCCTTGTCCTCTGTGATGACTTCAGGGTGAATAACTCTACACCGAGTTCACTATATGAACCACTGATGTATTTATACATGTTGATCATATTCCCCCCTTAATCTCCTCTCAAGAGAGAATAAATTCAGTTCCTCTAATCTTTCCTCATAGCTGAGCGCCTCCATGCCTCTTATCAATTTAGTTGCCCTTCTCTGTACTTTAAGTTCCTCAATGTTCTTTTTGAGAATTGGTGTCCCAAAACTGAACTGCATATTCCAGATGAGGTTTACTAATGATTTGTACAGGGGTAATATGCACAAGTGTCCCTAGGGTAGGCGTCAACCGGTGCGGTAACACTTTGTGACACCCCCTCAGATGATCCCCGCAGAATAGATCGGATCTGCGGATAGAGCATAATGGATCGGACTCCAATCCATTATGCTCAATCCGCAGATCCGATGCATCCTGCTGGGATCGTCAGCTTTCTTTACAACTTACCTTTTCTTGGATCGGGTCCGGTGTCAACCCGTATAGGTTGCATACTGACGAGGATCGTCGGCATGCAACCTATACAGGGTGACACCGGACCCGCTCCAAGAAAAGGTAAGTTGTAAAGAAAGCGGACGATCCCCGCAGGATGGATCAGATCCATCCTATGGGGATCGTCGGCTTACTTTACAACTTACCTTTTTGTGAAGCGGGTCCAGTGTCACCCCGTGCGGTCGGTGTCTCCCTATGCAGACCGCACCCCCGCACCTGCCTCGGGACGCCACTGGTAATATGATATCTCTCTCTCTGGAGTCTATACCTCTTTTAATACAAGAGAGGATTTTGCTCGCTTTACAAACCGCAGCTTTGCATTGCATTCCATTATTAAGCTTGTGATCTACCAGAACTCCCAGATCCTTCTCCACCATTGATTCCCCCAGTTGCACCCCCCTGGTATGTATGATGCATGCATATTCTTAGCCCCCAAGTGCATAACTTTACATTTATCAACATTAAACCTCAATTAAACAGTGCATTGAGGTCGGCTTGTAAATTGAAGACATCCTGTAAGGCCGTTATTCCACTGCACAGCTTGGTGTCATCTGCAAAGACTGAAATGGGATTTATAATCCCAGACCCTATATTGTTTATAAATATATTAAAAAGTAAGGGTCCCAACACTGAACCTTGGGGTACACCACTGATGACCCCAGACCATTCAGAGTATGAATCATTAACCACTACTCTCTGAATACTATCTTTTAGCCAGTTTTCTATCCATTTACATACACATTTTTCCAAGCCTGTAGACTTTATCTTACACATTAGCCATGTGTGGGGAACTGTGTCAAATGCCTTTGCAAAATCCAAGTATACCACAGTCCACCCACCCCACTGTATAAGGTTTTGCTCAACCCTCATAAAAAGAAATCAGATTTGTTTGACAACTTCTGTCTTTCATGAATCCATGCTGTCTGTTGCGTAAAAATATTTTTTTCCAGCAAGAACTCATCTATGTGGTCTTTTATTAAACTTCCCAGTATCTTCCCAACTATAGAAGTTAAACTAACAGGTCTATAATTACTTGGTAAAGATTTTGACCCCTTTTAAATATTGGCACCACATTGGCCTTATGCCAATCCAGTGGTACAATGCCAGTCATTAAAGAGTCCCTAAAAATTAAAAAAAACAAAATGGCTTTGAAACGACAGAGCTCAATTCTTTAAGGACCCGTGGGTGTATGCCATCCGGTCCACGTGCTTTATTCACCTTTATTCTGTCTCAATATTTTTGGATCATATCAATTGTGAGCCAATGTGGATCATCTGGAGCTGTGTCAATACCATGCCCATTATGGACAAGAGCTCCCCCATGCTCCTTTGTATACACAGAGCTGAAGAAGGTATTAAATAAATTTGCCTTCTCTTTGTCCCCAGTCACCCACTCTAGATTATTTTGTAAACGGCCTTCATGCATTGAGTTCTCTAATCTCCCCGTCTTTCCTGAGTTGCTCATAGCATAGGTAATATTTCAGAGTATATCACCTTGGAGGTCCTTCCCTTCAACTTGCAGCCTAGTTCTTTAAATTGATTCTTAAGGAGACTCCACCTTCCATGCATGCTGTCATTGGTCCCAAAATGAACCAAGACAGCTGGGTCATGCCCAGCCCCTCCCAGTAATTTATCAACCCGGTCCACCACATGCCTAACCCTGGCACCAGGGAGACAGCAAACCATTCGGTTGAGGCGATCCTGGTGACAAATAATTCTATCAGTCCTTCTGATCATAGAATATCCTACTACAACCAGCTGTCTAGGCCTTCCTGCACTACCCTCACCACCCCTCCCAGATTGTCTGCCCTCCCAGCTGTTACCCAGTAACCCAGAGAAACCAGTCATAGTCCATCTTGAAACAGTATGATTTAGGGAGAGTGAACTTTGATTGGTTGCTAGCAGTTATGGCGCTTACAAAACTCTTTATTGAATAATGCTGAAAATCAATGTGTGTAAATATCTGTGCACCAGGCCACACCCTATTCAGTAACACCCCATCTGCAGAGATCACAGTCTCCAAACTTAGTGTGTGCCTTTACACACTTAAAAAGTATAAACTTTTTTTTAATTATTGTAGTTTATGAGTAGGGATGGGTCAGAAGTGCTACTGGACTTTCTTTTTTTTCATCTGCATGTCCTCTGGGAAGATGCACCCTATATGTCAAAGTGACCATTGTCACTAGCACTGTGAGAGAAATTTCAAAAGTTTAAAATGTCACCTGACACATAATTCAGAGGAAATCTTCAAATTGGAACACTGTAATTTCTGTTATTTTGGTGACATTTTTTATCTCACTTTTCCTTTCCGGTCTATAGGTTAAAGTGGACCTTCAGGGATATTTACATATTTATCTTACTAGCCTCCAATAGTCATGCATCCCAGGAGTCTTCCGGCCATCTAGCACACATTGTGCATGGGTGGTGGTGCATCATCAGGAGGGTGCAATGTCCCATGCTGCCTCCTTCAACTGTGACTTCATTTGTGAGCTAGTTTCCTCTTCCAGGTTCTTGCAACCAGCTCCCAATGAAGTCCGAAAGGAAGAGAATGGCATGGGATACAGGGTGCAGCAGCTTATTAGCTGATTACACAATTTTTTTTATTTTTTTTTTTTTTTTTTTTACAAGACAACTAAGTGGAAAAGAGAGGACTTGAAAATATAATTATGAAAGGGGGTTAAAGTGTTATTAAAAAAAAAAACATGACTTTCTGCTAAATGTTACAATAGATACTTTTATTAAAAAATAATACAAGGTGTAACCACTGAAAATACTCTAAAGTTTTGCTTTAAGTCCCCCTTTACTTGGCATGTTGTGAAATAATGTGCTTTCATACTCACATCAATGACAACCGAGCAAAAGATACACAGTATCCACAATATTTACATTTATCCACTTTGCCGCAGCATTCGTTCAAGTTGTGTTCTATTAGGGCACCCAATATATGACCGGAGTGCTTCATTTACTATAAAAATATTTATTTTAGTGAATAACACAAATTGGAAACAACTATAGATAAGGATAATTGTCATTCCATTGTAGTTTCTTTTTGGTCATTGTAATTCTTCATACTGGTCTGTTAAGGAAAAAAAAAAACAACAGTAAGAACATGCCATTTCAGTTATTCGGAAATAAATTATTCCTGACAAACGTAACCTTTGCAAAGTAACGGGTTTGTAGACAGAAGAGGGAAGAAAAGTGCCTCCAAGTGCAGTATTAATAAGATTTGTTTGGACACAAGAGCAAAGCAACTCACACGTAAATAATTGTAAACAGGCTGCTATATAGAGCAATACAAAGCAGACCTCTCCCCAATCAGTGATACTTGGCGATCCGACATTTGAAGCCTCCAATGGTGGAGCGGGCAGGGTTCGTGCACCCACAACCCGGAGATGCAAAATCATGTATATATACACGTGATTTTGCGCAGCCCTGCCACCCTGTAGCAGTATTTCGGCTATAGGGCAGCAGGCAAGTGGTTAATACTGCACTTGGAGGCACTTTTCTTCCCTCTTCTGTCTACATTCCAGAGCTCGCTACAGCTTCTGAATAAGCTGGTCCTAGTGCTATCTTTTTTTATGGACATGATATTGGACTTTACTCTGAGGACTATTTGATCTTTTGCGCCCTATATCTCAGTTTCTTACAAAGCAACAGGTTTATTTTAACCTCCTGCCGACCGCGCATAGCCGAATGACGGCTTCACCGCGGCCGGCCAGTTCTGGGTGGACGTCATATGACGTCCTCCCAGAACGCGCTCTCCTGCGCGCCCCAGGGGGCGTGCACCCGGCGATCTCCGTGATCGCTGTGTCCTACGGACACAGCTGATCACGTGATGTGGTAAAAGGCCAATCACAGCGGCCTTTTACCACGTGATCAGCGGTGTCCAATGACACGCTGATCACAGGGAAATGCAAGTGCCGGTTCTTGGCTGCACTTTCCTCACGCTGTCAGATCGTGAGGAAAGTACTGCCGAGAACCGGCAGTTGTCAGAGCGGGGATCGGCACCGATCAGCAGTGCGCCCACTAGCTGCACCCACCCGTGCCCAGCAGTGCCCCCACCTGTGCCCAGCAGTGCCCCCACCTGTGCCCAGCAGTGCCCCCACCTGTGCCACTCTGCAGTGCCACCTACCTGTGCCCAGAAGTGCCACCTACCTGTGCCCAGCAGTGCCACCCACCTGTGCCCACCAGTGTCACCCACCTGTGCCCACCAGTGCCACCCACCTGTGCCCACCAGTGCCACCCACTTGTGCCCACCCACCAGTGCTGCCCACCAGTGCAGCCCAGCAGTGCTGCCAGTCAGTGCCCAGGGGTTGTGCCAGTCAGTGCCGCCAGTCAGTGCCCAGCAGTGATGCCAGTCAGTGCCGTCTATCAGTACCCATAATCAGTGTCACCTATCAGTGCCGCCTATCAGTGCTGCATATTAGTGCCGCCTATCCGTGACCCCTAATTAGTGCTGTCTATCAGTGCTGCCTATCCGTGCCACCTCATTAGTACTGCCTATCAGTGACCTTTAGTGCTGCCTATCAGTGCCCATCAGTGCCGCCTCATCAACGCACATCAGTGAAGGAGAAAAAATACCTGTTTGAAAAATTTTATAAAAGAAACAAATAAACTTTTTTTTTTTCAAATTTTTTGCACTTTTTTTATTTATAGCGCAAAAAGTAAAGCGCTCAGTGGCGATTAAATACCACCAAAAGAAAGCTCTATTTGTGAGAAAAAAATGATCAAAATTTCATATGGGTACAATGTTGCATGACCGCGCAATTGTCAATCAAAGTGCGGCAGCGCTGAAAGCTGAAAATTGGCCTGGTAAGGAAGGGGGTATAAGTGCCTGGTAGGCAAGTGGTTAAAAGAGATAAGCAAGCTGCAGTAGCCCTCGTTACCCAAGCCATCATCAGAACACCAAGAGATTCCTATGCAAGTCTGCTAAAGAAGCTGAAATATACACAGGGCTATGCTCACTGCCTCACTCCTTGTAGCAAATCTCAGGCTCCAAGAAGGAGTGCCATATGTTCCTGCTACTCTGAAGTATTGGCCATTTCTCAGTCTGATGAAAGGTAAGTATGGATTCTATATGGCCCCTGCAGTAAAGTGAATCTGTTACTTTGCCTAGAGGTTATGGGGTCACTTCATCTAGGGAAGAATAAGGGTACTTATGCAGTAAAAATGAACATTACATATGCAATCATTTCAGGAACAGAAGCTGCGATAAGGCAGCCATTGTACAAGTACAACTAAGCCCCACACACCTTAAAAACCTTGAGTTGGGCTTCCAATGATGGGTGCATCATGGTGGGTTGACTCTCCTGCCTTTTTCCTATATCCTTTGCATGGCAAGTGCAGCATCACCATAAAGCTTTGTCTCTTCACAGCATGTGATTCACCCTACTACCATATCAGTTTTGGTGGGATTCTGCTTTGCAGAATGGCCATAAGCTGTAACTGTTCTAAATCTTGACTACTGTGTAACAAACCATAAGGAAGCCACAGTTTCAGCAGTTCGTTTAAATTCTATACAGCATCTGCTGACTTTTGAAATTACTGAAATCTGCACTTCATTAGCAGCATGAAGAAACTTTTCTACAGCAACTGATGTACTCATGTAATAAACACTCCTTGTTGCTGGGAGATTTCCAGTCTGAAGAAGACTCTGCCAACCTCCCTGCTTACACAGCAAAAACACAAATTGATTTGTTAAGATAAAAAGGCTTGAAATTGTGTTGCTGTGCTCCCAAGATTTAAAAGCAAGAAGACAGTAGGCTGTCCATTGGAGACTCACGTCACACTTTCTGAGGTCGCTGCAGGTACTTTACATATTGCAATACAGCATTCACTTAGTATTCTTAAGATTGCAAACTCAAAACAAGCATGGCCCTACGATCCTTCTTACATTATCTTCTTAGGCAACGATCACACGTGTGCAACTCCAAAGTCTTTACACACTCTGGCACGAAGTCGCATAGATCTGAATGGGTGCCACTGAAAACAATGGGCTGCAACTTGTCATGCAACTTTATGTGTCCAAATTTGCATTACAAGTCACAGAGGTGTGAACAAAGCCTAACTACTTTAACGATTCATTTTGTAAAGTATGGTGCAACTATAAAAAATAAGGAGCTCTATGAACAAAATAAGTCACTGTCTGCGAAATTAGACATTTGTTGCCTCTTTTAGGAAATAAAGTACCCCCAAAAAAGTAACCAACCCTGTCAATAGCTTGCACCATTTATATTAGAATAATCCTGTAAAATTAAGGAAAGCAATATCTACCTTGCAAGCAGTTGGAGTGCTAAATCATCAATTTCTCCATGAACTACAGTTGCCACTGCTATCCAGCCCCTCTAGCTGTTTGGATTGCATTTCCCCTGCTGCATACTATGATTCATCCCACCAATGCAGTAATGAAATAAGGGTCTGGAGAGGAACCACAGCACCAATCAGGGACATGTTGTCTGAAAAAGCAAAGATTTAAAATTCCACCCACCTAAAAGGCAAGTATTCCTCTTCTTCTATAGCAGGGTTATTCCAGCATCATTTTTGCAAGCAAGTGGCATGATCTCTAAGTACATAAGCAGTAGCCTTTTGTGGGGTACACACGAGAGATCACTGTACTAATACAAGTGATGTTCATGCTTTCTCCCCCCGCTGTGCTGTGTTCTGACAGGGGGACTTCCCCTCTCTTCCCTCACTGCCCCCCTGCCAGAACACACTGATCAGCATTTGCAGTCCTTGGCTGCCATGAGGATACTGGCTTTCCAGCATGACCGTTCGACAGAAGCACTATACACATGGTCCGTGTGTACCCAGTGTGTGTGTTCCTGCCAAACGGACACATGATCCGTGTGTACCTGCCAAACAGACCATTTTCGGCCCAATGTGTACCCAACTTAATTTTAAAGTGATTGTAAACCTCAGACATGAAATATCCCTCTATAGTGTGTACTTGTCTCAATCCTGAGCACAAAGTTTAATTTCTCTCTGACACTTTGTTCCTCTGCTATCAGAATGAGTCACTTCTGACAAGTTTTCCTGACAACAAGAAAATAATGGTGACAGGGGAAGACACAGCCAGAAATTGACATCCTCTGCTCTGTTCCTGCTTGCAATCAGCTCTCAGAGCTCTCCTCACTGAGCTCTGAATTTCAGTTCCCTGCCCCTTGGTTTCTCAAATCTCAGGTAGGAGGATTTGTTTCATCTATGTGTATCATCTGAGGCCAGTCACTTCACTAAGTATATGCAAGGGTTTACAACCACTTTAAGTAGGCAAGAAGGTTGAGCATAGTAGTGTGTCTGTGCTGTGTGTGAGTCAGAATGATGCCCCGCTGACATGATCTGACACATTTGGACACATTTTTAGTACAGATAGAGCTGGTGAAAGGAGGCCACCATGGGAATGTCAACTCAGCAGACACCTGTAGTGACAACAAGTGGTTTTACAGCAGTGTCTTATCCAGTCCTCATCCCACCCAGTCAGGCTTCCAGATAGGATACCTCAAATGTATCCAAGACATGCTGGCAGACATCCAGGAGTTCAGTTAGTCCTTTTCTGAATGGCTCGACTGCAGGAAGTCCATCTGAAAGCAGAGCCCATTAAAAAATAAATATAGCACAGTGCAGAGACAACACAGTCTAGTGGTTAGATCTCCTATTTCTGTTTGTGGTAAATGGGAATCTTTTTGAGTGACTACTGATTTTGGAGTAAATGGATGTTTTTGGAATTAAAAGGGTTTTACAGAAAAAAAAGCCAATCTGATCCCTGCACCAATCCATTCGGTGAACATTATCTCATTTTCTCACATTCCTTAAAGAGAACCAGCCAAAACTGAGTCACTCAGAGAATCACTGATCCACTGCAGGTATGAATCAACAGTCCCAGAGCTTTAAATACAAATGAGCAATCACAGCTCACTTCTTCAAAAGAGATCGTCATCATTGGACTTATGCAAGAATCTAATTCATTTGTTTTAAAACGGAATTATAGTCTCACTTTCAGTTTTGCATAGTTGTAGAATCTCATCTCCCATACTGATATGGCTTATTTGATTTTATTGTATAATGAGAGCATCTCACAATGTGCATTATAAGCTGTGGCGAGTCAAATAGAGCCCATCTCATTTCCTCCTCAGCCTGACTGTCTCTTGCTCATCCCTTTCATTCACTGGATTTAGATTATTTCAATCTTGGAGGCTCAACATCACATGTGGGTGTTACCTAGAGTTGGCTGCATGCAAATGCAGTCTGCCTAGAACACCCACTCCTCCAGACTGACACCCACCCACCAAGGCATTTTGATAACTGCTCCAAAAAGAGCCCACTGCCTGCACCAGGACTGTGAGCTTTTGAGGAGTACTGTCGTAAGGTGCTAGGAGGTTTGTACAGCATCCTGTAAACCCCTGCCAGCAGCCATGATCTGGCGGCATTGCATAGAGAAGCACAGAAGCTCACCGAGTCTAAAATAAGGTATACTAAGAAAACAAAGTTGTTTTTTTAATTAGTATATTGATAAAGGCAGAAAAAAGGAACCAAGGAAGGCAAATATAGGCAGAAAAAAATTCAACATTAAAATGTTATCATTCTGCAGGCTTTCTGCTTTGTTTTTCTTATCTGAAGTTGCCTTGAACTGAATCTGACTGTTACAGCCACACCACCGTGTGCCTTTCTACTGCTACTTTATGCAATGGATACCCACACTGGTAAATAGGTATACTCAGGTGGTGCAGCCAAAGTTTGAGAGAAGTTGAGAATTGTATATTGCTTATATAGCTTCTTGCATCATAGTTTTTATCACTTGGATGTTGAATTTGTATCGCCTGATGCCCGGGACATGTAGTTCCGGGCACCGGGCAGGTAGTTTTTTTTTGTTATCCCTTAGCAAGCAGCAAGGGCTAACCTGTCAGCTGGAAGCATTCGCGGATTGCCTCCACACAGTGCCAGCATCCGTCCACTGTCTCCCGGGCTCCGCCGGCCCATCTGCGGGCCCAGGACCGGCTCACTGCCGTTGGCTAAAGAAGGGGAGGGAAGAGACGGACACATCTGCTCCCCTCCCCTTCTTATCCTGACTCGGAAGTGACGTTATGATGTCACTTCCAGGTCCCCAATGAAAGATTTCCCGGCCATAGAGGCCGGGAAAGAATGTAATGCAGTGTGATGTGCACAGGGGACACAGGGGAGACATCCAGGGTCTTTTAGATGTCTCAATAAAGAGAACTTGTCACCAAAAATCATCACATAGGGGACAAGTCCCCTATGTGATGAAAAAAAAAAAATAATTGTAAAACATCAAAGTTACACCCAAGCACATAACATCCCCCCCCCCAAAAAAAAAAAAATTAAAAAATTTGAGGGCCCTCCCCACACATATACGCACATACAAATGTAAAAGCACACATTGGGGCACCTACACATGCAAACGTTGATTGCAATGCATGTTACATATCGTCGTGCACACTAGAATGAGAGCAATAATTCTAGCAGCAGACCTCCTCCATATCACTACACTGATGACTTATAGGGGCTTTAAAAAATGTCACCTATAGAAAATATAGGTTACTGAAGTTCATTGCCATTTCACGAGCACATGCAAAATTAAGGTTTTGACATGTTGGATATATATTTACTCACTGTAACCTCCTCTTTAATATTTTACAAAAAATAGGGTAATTTGCTTTTTTTGTGACCTAAAATTAACTTGCTTGTATTTTTTACTGACTTTGTGGTAATATGTGACATAAAAAATTGGAACTACCACTATTTTATTCTCTAGGGTCTCTGATTTCAGAAAATATATCTTTGGGGGCTGTGTGTAATCTTCAGGCCTGAAATTTTTTTTTTATACGTGTTCAAAAAAATGCAAAAAGGGCTCTGGCAGCAAAAGGAATAAAGGATAAGCTGGACACTCCCCTTTCCTGAGTAGCAGCCAATCAGTGCTCATTACACTGTGAGGTCTCTCCCCTCTCTACTAGTCCCTGGGTGCGGTGCTGGAGACAGGCATGGAGGGGAGGAGGAGATAAACAGTGCAATGTGAAAAATATAACATGTTTAAGTCACCATAAAGCCCCATGTGTTTTAAAAGTCCCAGACATTCCTAAAAGCATCTCCGATTTAAGTGCGGTTTTGGGTCAATTTTTTTTTTTTTTTATCTGGACAAGTAGATTGTCAAGAGAGACAAGTAGATTGGGGCACTGATTTAGTACCTGGACAAGTAGTTTTATCAAAATTTCCACACCCCTGTATCATATGCTGAGTACCAACTGTCATCCTCTCTAACAGGCTTGTTTTAAAGATCACAATATAGTAGACATTATATAGTAGACAAGACCTTGTTCCTCATAAATTTGTTACGTACTTCGAGTCTGGATGCGGAAATTGATTTTGCTTTCAGAAGGATGAGTGATGCTGTACCCACAGAACTCCACTTCTGGGCTATAGACAATAAAACAGACAAAGATCGGATTCTGCTAATAGGTGGAAATCTCTAAAAATTGTGCTTCACATAAATAAGAAATACTACTCACTTCTTCATGACCATGTAACGCAGAGCATTTCCTAAAGTGTGATCTTCTTCATGTAAGACGAACGTTACACATGATTCATCCATTCCATTGGCCTGGACCTTTAAAGAAAAAAAAAAAAAACCCAATTGTTATATACAATTTATCATCTTCCCACTCCATAAGATGTTCAAAAAAAGCCAGGCACCTGTAATACTGATTTACCATGTTTGTGAAAAACGCTGCTATTCTAGCATTACCTACTGATCCTCCTGCAGGAAAAATACCAGAGACAGGCTCAGTTACAGTGAGCGACAACATGAAAAGTCCTCTCCTACAGCACCTAAAAACTTAGAAGTCTAAACAATTCTTTTTCATTTTTGATTGAGTGGAGAAAAGGTAAGAATAACGGTCAGCTTTTTATTGCCATTTTCCCAACTGGAAGATTTCCTCTCACTTCCTGCTGTCACCAATGCTGATACACAAGGGTTGATTTAGGAAAACTGCAGTGCACAACTCTGCATAGAAATTTAATCAGCTTCCTGTTTGTTTAGTTTTAGTAAATCTTCCCCACAATGTAAAAACAAACATCACACTATACAGCATGCCTTGGATAAAGTGATCTGTTATCTTGTTGCAGCCTATTAGTGCCACCTAGTGGCCAATAAAAACATCTGTTTACAATGTGTCCCGGGGCCATTTATATTTATTGGTACCCCAGGTGCAAATGCAGCTTTGGATTCACAGGCCTTACAGCAAGCCCCAACTACTGTGCACTGTGGTGCCATGTCCAAAGGGGGAAAGAAAAAAAGATGCTTTTTGGTGCATTGGCTGACCACTCAAAAGAATGGGCAGCCTTAATGCCATGTGTGATTAATGTACATTCTAAACATGAATGAGCCCTATCGTGTCTCTAAGACCATTTTCTTCAGTTTTGGATACAGGGAAGCAGAATTTTGAATCTGTCAACTTTTTATTGCTGTCTGTGTTCTTCACTGCAGAGATGTCCCCTTACTTCCCATTTTGATGACATCTGTGTCAGACAACAGAAGGGAATTTCCCCCATCCTATTTGATGTGTGTTATAGAACAGAAATATAATTTCCTAACAGGGACACAAGGAGCAATAAAGTCCCCTTTATGGGCAAGACTTCAAATGTTAAGAGCACTTTAACCACTTCCCAACTGGGCCATAGTAAAAATACATCCTCAGTTGGAAGTGATATAGCGGGGATATGGCTGCAGCGATGTGCCATAACCCCGGTATTGTTCTTTTCAGCCAGCAATTCCTTTTCTGCTAAAAGTGGTCTAAGAGGCGGATTCACTTGGTGCGACCCCCCCTTTTCAGTGGTTCTCGGGCTTACTTGGATGATCGATGAGCCAGAAACCGATCTGAGCATTGTGGTGGCTGGGTATAGAGATGAGTGGAGGAAAGGTGGCCTCCACTTAGCTCTATGGCCTAGGAGGACTGGAGCAACGTCATTATATCACTTCCGGTTCTGGCCTAATGTAAACAAGGCATTTTTTAAAGCACCCCTGTCCACCCCATGCTCGTGCGCAGTGGTGAACGCATACGTGGGTCACATCCACATATGTAAACTGTGTTCAAATCGCACTTGTGAGGTATCGCCATGAACATCAGAGTGAGAGAAATAATTCTAGCACCAGATCTCCTCCGTAACTCTAAACTGGTAACCTGTAGAAATTTTTAAATCGTCACCTAGGAAGGAAGTGTGCAATAAGGAATTTTTAGTATAAATTAGGAAGAGAAAGCAAACAAGAGAACGAGGAGAAAAAAAGGGAGGGGTTAAGGGGAAAATGGGGAGGCGTAGAGCTGGAATGGGAATAGAGCTGATGAGGACAGAGGGAGATAGTGGTAGACGTTACAACACACCGATGCAATATCAGGGGGTTAAGGATTTAGATGTACTGAGCATATTCATCGGAGAAGCGAAACCGGTCCCAATAAACCATCCGGTCCGGTGGTCTTCTGACTTTCCCTGAAGAACAGAGGCCATGTACTCCATGCTCTCTATAGCGTTCACTCTGGAGAACCATTGAGATATAGTGGGGGGGTTTGTTGTTTCCACATAGCTGGAATACGGGCGCTTGCCACATTTAATAGATGTTTAAGTAGAGATTTGTGGTATTTTTTCTTAGAGGGGGGGGTCAAATTTAGTAGAATTGCTGCTGGGTCTTCTAATAGGGAAATGTCAGTAAATTTGTGTATAAAATGCAAGACTTGCTGCCAATATGGACGTAATGCCAGACACTCCCAGAAGATGTGGAAAAGTGTGCCCAAGTGAGCATTACATCTCCAGCATTGATCAGTTTCCTGAGGAAATATTCTAGCTAGAATCGAAGAGGTCCTGTACCGCCTAGTGACTATTTTATATGTTGTTTCCTGATACTTGCTGCACAACGAAGTGTGCAAGAAGAGGATCCGTTCTTTTTGCTGATCAGAGAAAGTGGTCTGCAAATCTGATTCCCACTTTGTAAGGAACGATGGGTCCGATCTAGCATGTAAGGATAAAAAGTATTGATAAGAGATCAATAATGTTTTCGGATCGGCTTTTCTCCCAGGCAAAGCTCCTCAAACGTGGTAAGCGGCTTCTGAAACATTTGCGATCTGGGGAGGGTGCTTAAGAAATGCGATAATTGAAAGCCTCGCCAGCTGTATAAGATTTTGGGACCTGAGCATGCAAAGACAGTACCAGCTGGTGCCCACCCCGTGGGTCGAAGGAAAAAGGGTGCACGTAAAAGTTTCAGTTGGGCATGATGAAAGAATGCGGAGTCCATCAAAGCAAGGGCGAAGGGCAGGTGACCTATGGTCAGTCTCATCGGACATGGAAAGCTGTCCAAAGTATAAAGTTTGAAAACAGTAATGAACCAGACCATATTTACAATATCAGCGTCACTGGTTAGTAGACATTTGCATAGAAGGGTACGAAGCCCAATTGGCCCGTAACAGAAAACCCGAAGGTAGGCTGAAGAAGTATTCCTGTATCAAGGCCCCTGAAACTTCAGGAGACAAGTACAGGGCCATACAAGTAGCTCATGTATCCCAAACCACTCTGAAGGTTTACTTCAGGTAGGGTGGCAGATTTAAACATCTTGGATACCAAGATGGCATGCTCTAGCTATCCATTCCTGATGAGTAAGTCTACATATTGAAAGGTTTAGCAACTTGACCCAGAGTCATCTGAGCAGTTCCTCGTGGTGAGTTGCTTACTGTTGATTTCTTTTGGATCTGTGATTTGCGCAAACTCTGAGGCTGGCTTTGGCATGATTGCTCAGGGGGGTCTAGTGTGGCATTAAAAGTGAGCCAGTTGGGAACCGGAAGGGGATTTATGCAAAGGCAATTAATGCTGGCAGATCAGACAGTTGGCGCACCGGAAAGTACGGTTGCCCTTGCGCACTATGAGACGAAAAGGATAACCCCACTTGTATGACATCCCTAGTTCCAGAATTCGGTCAAGAAGTGGTTCCAGAGACCTACGCATTAGCAATGTTTTCCTAGAAATATCAGTAAGTAGATGAATCGAGGCACCATCAAACTCTAATACACCCACTCTCCAGGCCTGTTGTAATATCTCTTTTTTAAGGCAGTAGAAGTGTAGGCGGCATAATACATTATGTGGGCAGTCTGCCAAGGCCAGGCCTGGTTGGACAGATTAGATTGCGCCACCTGAAGGTGGTCAAGTGTGTGCTACGCAGCTTCATGGCTCTGCTCAACCCCTGTCATTCTAGAATCAATGTCTGAGATTTCTTGTCAAAGCACCTGTAATTCCCCTCTGAGAGCAGATTTGACACAGTTAGCTAAGGCCTCAAAATCCGCCCTCATGGGCAACTGTTGAATGAAGGCCCACAGGGTTTGATCAGAGAGCGGGGTAGGCAAGGGACCACCCGGTAACTTGTCCCCAGGGGTAGCACTCGCTGTGGCCCGGAGCAAGCCATCCGCAGGCTGGCCGAGACCGTGTTCCCCGTCAGATGTAGGAGAGGCAGATGTTGCAGATAGGCCGACATCCAAAAAGTAAGATTCCTCCAAGACCGCACAGAATGTGAGCAGCGACCGTGGCAGCCATGGAGAGAGATCACTCAGCGGAGAGAATGGAGGTAAGTCACGTGAAGCATCTTGATCATAGGAGGAGGGCGACCTGGAACCCTCAGGAGTAGAGGCCTTGGCAGCAGGAGCTGGCGCCATCTTGGATCCCGATGGCATAGATACCGACTGTGTACTCAGCCGAAGATATCGCTCCATCTTCCAGTCGGGTAAGTGAGATCAGTAGTCAGTGAGTGTCATGCTCCCCAGTAGTTATCAGAGTTGTTTCAATGTGGGGTAAGGGATAGTAGGACTGCTATAGGGGCGCCTCAGGCTGGGAGCTTGGTGATCACACGTCCTCGGCCGTCCATGCCAAGACCACGCCCCCTGACAAACTTCTAACATTGGCCCTGATATGTCAAAAGGTCTAGGGCCTACCTAACAGGGAGCTGTGACACCGCCGTTCCTTCCCACCTCGTGGGCGCCGCACCCTGTGAAGACGCCGAGCGTAGTGACGTCAATACGTTGACGCGTTTCGTCCGCCAATCACCGCAGACTTCGTCAGATTGGCGGTGATTGCGGTGATTGGCGGACGAAACGCGTCAACGTATTGACGTCACTACGCTCGGCATCTTCACAGGGTGCGGCGCCCACGAGGTGGGAAGGAACGGCGGTGTCACAGCTCCCTGTTAGGTAGGCCCTAGACCTTTTGAGAACTACCAGTGGGCTATTATCACAGCGGTTCGCAAACGGCAATCCCTCAGGGAAACATATCTTCCACCGGTGGCAAGTTACTTAAAAGCTTACGGCTGTTGAGATTTACAGAGCCTACATGGCGTTAATAGGGCATGCTTCATGGGCCTAATTTACCCTGTATACTCTGGGAATTTTTTGGAATTCCTCTCAGGAGGAGAATCTACATATATATATATATATATATATATATATACGCTAACCTACTCAGGTATTTTTTGCTGTGACATAGCCACATCCTTATAAAACCGCAAATAACCTTCTCAAATTGAGCAATTTTTGGAAACCCTTCATTGGGTATATTAAACTCAGGTATCTACGGCCTGCTATATGCTATATACACATCATATGTGCTTGAAATCCACGCATCGTGTATACCTGGTCCCTCACCCCCATATACATCTTTGAAAAAGCATCAAGGACCTGATCTTAGTTCAAGTCGACAAGAGTCTTCTTGATCCTCATTGATGGTAATATATCCACATTTTTATATGTGTTTTGTTTTCGGGGTTACCTGATGCCCAAGATCTACACATTTAATTTTTTTCTATGTATATCCTCAGAATCATTTGGTACTGTGGACCTTGTTCCATTTGGGGTGGCTATCCAGGAAGTCCCTACACTTGAGAGGCGGGTATGATAGTTTCACCTTTGAGAAGGTAACAGCAGTATCCATTGACTATTGTGGAGGGAGGTCTGGTTAATTTTGGATGTGATTTGGTTTCCATATTGCTAGATACATACCATGTATTTTTGTGTTCCAGCTTGTACATTCCAGGAGGTCCCTGACATATATTGGGAACACACCCACTGAATACACGGCTCACACAAATATTAAGCAGGAAACCTACGGAAATCCAGGATAATTATTTCATCATTACACTACTCTGCCTTATATGGTGCTCTGTTGGCTAAGATGACCCTAAATTGAAGACGCTAAGTGTTTTTTAACATGATTTTATTTTTTTCATATGTACACTGTGCTCATGTTTAACCTCCCTATGATCTATGTGATCAAATAAAGTATTGTTAAATTCATTTGAATTCATACTACTCCGCGTGGATTACTTAGAAACCTTCTTTTTCAGATAGGTGTGTTCTCGTCACACTATCATATTGTTTAGTTTAATGAGCAATATATCATTTAAGTGACAACTTTGTGTAAAAAAAAAAATAATTTTCAGAAAATTTGTGGCAAAAAATAAAATATTCCATGGACTCAACATGCCTGAAAAATCCTTGGGGTGTCTACTTTCCAAAAAGGCGTCATTTGAGGGGGGGGGGGTTGTACTGCCCTGGCATTTCAGCACCTCAAGAAATGTGATAGGTAGTCAGACAGTAAAAGTGGTGTAAATTCCAATATATATACCAGTTTGTAGACACAATAACTGTCACACAAACCAATTAATTTACATGTATTGGGATTTTTTTCTTACCAAAGACATGTAGCAGAATACATTTTGGCCTAAATATATGACTGAGTTTATTGGATATTTTTTTTATAACCAAAAGTGAAAAATATAGTTTTACTATATGGGCTCATGTGTACAACATGTATTGGGGGGTGGGGGCTCATGTGTACCACGTGCATGGGGGAGGGGAGGCTCATGTGTACCACGTGCATGGGGGGGGGGAGGCTCATGTGTACCACGTGCATGGGGGAGGGGAGGCTCATGTGTACCACGTGCATGGGGGGGGGGGGGGGGAAGGCTCATGTGTACCACGTGCATTGGGGGGGGGGGGGGGAGGCTCATGTGTACCACGTGCATGGGGGGGGAGGCTCATGTTTACCACGTGCATTGGGGGGGAAGGCTCATGTGTACCACGTGCATTGGGGGGGGGGGGGGGAGGCTCATGTGTACCACGTGCATTGGGGGGGGGAAGGCTCATGTGTACCACGTGCATTGGGGGGGGAAGGCTCATGTGTACCACGTGCATTGGGGGGGGAAGGCTCATGTGTACCACGTGCATTGGGGGGGAAGGCTCAAGTGTACCACGTGCATTGGGGGGGGAGGCTCATGTGTACCACGTGCATGGGGGGGGGGAGGCTCATGTGTACCACGTGCATGGGGGGGAAGGCTCATGTGTACCACGTGCTTGGGGGGGAAGGCTCATGTGTACCACGTGCATTGGGGGGGGGGGGCTCATGTGTACCACGTGAATTGGGGGGGGAGGCTCATGTGTACCACGTGAATTGGGGGGGGGGGAAAGGCTCATGTGTACCACGTGCATGGGGGGGGGAGGCTCATGTTTACCACGTGCATTGGGGGGGAAGGCTCATGTGTACCACGTGCTTTGGGGGGGAAGGCTCAAGTGTACCACGTGCATTGGGGGGGGGGAAGGCTCAAGTGTACCACGTGCATTGGGGGGGGAAGGCTCAAGTGTACCACGTGCATTGGGGGTAGGGGGGGGCTCATGTGTACCAAGTGCATTGAGGGTGAGGGGACTCATGTGTACCACGTGCATTGGGGTGGGCTCATGTGTACCACGTGCATTGGGGTGGGGCTCATGTGTACCACGTGCATTGGGGTGGGGCTCATGTGTACCACGTGCATTGGGGTGGGGCTCATGTGTACCACGTGCATTGGGGTGGGGCTCATGTGTACCACGTGCATTGGGGTGGGGCTCATGTGTACCACGTGCATTGGGGTGGGGCTCATGTGTACCACGTGCATTGGGGTGGGGCTCATGTGTACCACGTGCATTGGGGTGGGGTGGGGCTCATGTGTACCACGTGCATTGGGGTGGGGGGGGCTCATGTGTACCACGTGCATTGGGGTGGGCTCATGTGTACCACGTGCATTGGGGTGGGCTCATGTGTACCACGTGCATTGGGGTGGGCTCATGTGTACCACGTGCATTGGGGTGGGCTCATGTGTACCACGTGCATTGGGGTGGGCTCATGTGTACCACGTGCATTGGGGTGGGCTCATGTGTACCACGTGCATTGGGGTGGGCTCATGTGTACCACGTGCATTGGGGTGGGGGGGGCTCATGTGTACCATGTGCATTGGGGTGGGGGGGGGCTCATGTGTACCACGTGCATTGGGGTAGGGGGGGCTCATGTGTACCACGTGCATTGGGGTGGGGGGGCCTTATATGTAGCTTGTGTATTAGGGGGTGCACTGTTATGTGCACCTTGTGTTGATTGGGGGGGGGGGGGTCACATCTATACCTTGTGCATTGGGGAGGAGGGGTTCACGTGTATGGGAAAGGAGGGGGGGATCTTATTTATACCTTGTGTATCTGGGAGTGGGGGGATCTTATGCATACCTTGTGTATCGGAGGGGGGGGGGGGGGGGGGGGGTCTTAAGCATACCTTGTGTATCCGGGAGGGGGGATCTTATGCATACCTTGTGTATCGGGGAGGGGGGGGATTTTATGTATACCTTGTGTATCGGGGGAGGGGGGGGGGGGGATCTTATGTATACCTTGTGTATCGGGGGGGGGATCTTATGTATACCTTGTGTATCGGGGGGGATCTTATGTATACCTTGTGTATGGATTTTATGTATACCTTGTGTATCGGGAGGGGGGGGGGGGATCTTATGTATACCTTGTGTATCGGGGGGGGATCTTATGTATACCTTGTGTATCGGGGGGGGATCTTATGTATACCTTGTGTATGGGGGGGATCTTATGTATACCTTGTGTATCGGGGGGGATCTTATGTATACCTTGTGTATGGGGGGGGGATCTTATGTATACCTTGTGTATGGGGGGGGGGGGGGGGATCTTATGTATACCTTGTGTATCGGGGGGGGATCTTATGTATACATTGTGTATGGGGGGGAACTTATGTATACCTTGTGTATCGGGGGGATCTTATGTATACCTTGTGTATGGGGGGGATCTTATGTATACCTTGTGTATCGGGGGGGTTCACGTGTATGGGAAAGAGAGGGGTCTTATGTATACCTTGTGTATTGGAGGGGGGGCGCTCATGGTGTCAGCAGAACACTGAAGGATGAGAGATATGACATCAGGGAGGACATTACAGAACACACTGTGACACGGCCGCAGTACAAAGCTTCCAATCCAGAGACATTTCATACCACAAACCCCTCTCCTCCTACCATCTCCAGCACCGGCTGCTTCTCCGCTCCGGCCGCCATGCTTCCTCTCTGGTACCGGCTAGCTGCCAACCACGAGGAGGACCCGGAAGTCACATCAACAGAAAGGGAGGAGCGTAATGCGTGTAAACAGAGATTAACGGAGGAGGCGGAGTTAAGGACTGTGATTGTGTGTTCTGTCGGAGATGACATAGTAGTGCAAGCTGACACGGGGAGGTGACATAGGGGTACAGGGTGACATGGGGAGGTGACAGCGGTACAGGGTGACATAGGGGTGCAGGGTGGCACGGAGGGTAGGTAACAGCGGTACAGGGTGACACGAGGAGTGACATAGAGGTACAGGGTGACACGGGGGAGATGTCATAGGGGTACAGGGTGGCACGGGGGATGTGACAGCGGTACGGGGGTGACACGGAGTGACATAGGGGTACCGGGTGGCACGGGGGAGATGTCACAGGGGTGCAGGGTGACACGTGGAGTGACATAGGGGTACAGGGTGACACGGGAAGATGTCATAGGGGTGCAGGGTGACACGGGGGAGGTGACAGCGGTACAGGGTGACACCTGGAGTAACATAGGGGTACAGGGTGACACGGGGGAGATGTCAGGGTTGTGGGGTGACATAGGGGTACGGGGGGTGACACGGGGAAGATGTCATAGGGGTACAGGGTGAAACGGGGGAGGTGACAGCGGTACAGGGTGACACGGATGACATAGGGTGGCATGGGGGAGGTGACAGCGGTACAGGGTGAAATAGGGGTGCAAGGTGACACGGGAAGTGACATAGGGGTACAGGATGACATGGGGAAGTGACAGCGGTACATGGTGACATAGGGGTACAGGGTGACACGGGGGAGGTGACCGGTACAGGGTGACATGGGGGAGGTGACATAGGTGTACAGGGTGACACAGGGGAAGTGACATAGAGGTACAGAGTGACACGGGGGAGGTGACCGGTACAGGGTGACATGGGGGAGGTGACATAGAGGTACAGAGTGACACGGGGGAAGTGACATAGAGGTACAGAGTGACACGGGGGAAGTGACATAGAGGTACAGAGTGACACGGGGGAGGTGACCGGTACAGGGTGACATGGGGGAGGTGACATAGGTGTACAGGGTGACACAGGGGAAGTGACATAGAGGTACAGAGTGACACGGGGGAGGTGACCGGTACAGGGTGACATGGGGGAGGTGACATAGAGGTACAGAGTGACACGGGGGAAGTGACATAGAGGTACAGAGTGACACGGGGGAAGTGACATAGAGGTACAGAGTGACACGGGGGAGGTGACCGGTACAGGGTGACATGGGGGAGGTGACTTAGGTGTACAGGGTGACACAGGGGAAGTGACATAGAGGTACAGAGTGACACGGGGGAGGTGACAGCATTACAGGGTGACAATGGGGAGGTGACAGCGGTACAAGGTGACACAGGGGTACAGGGAGACATGGGGAAGGTAACAGTGGTACAGGGTGACACGTAGGTTGACATAGGGGTACAGGTTGACACGGGATCTGACAGCGGTACAGGGTGACACAGGGGAAGTGACATGGGGTACAGGGAGATAGGGGAGGTGACATAGGGGTACAGCATGACACGGGGGAGATTTCATAGGGGTGCAGGGTGACACAGGGAGGTGACATAGTGGGGCGCCTCCTGTGCACCACGTGCATTGGGGGAGCCTCCTGTGTACCATGTGCATTGGGGGGAGCCTCCTGTGTACCATGTGCATTGGGGGGAGCCTCCTGTGTACCATGTGCATTGGGGGGGAGCCTCCTGTGTACCACGTGCATTGGGGGGCTCCTTCTGTGTAGCACGTGCATTGGGGGAGCCTCCTGTGTAGCACGTGCATTGGGGAGCCTCCTGTGTAGCACGTGCATTGGGGGGCTCGTGTACCACATGCATTGGGGGGTTTCCTGTATAGCATGTGCATTGGGGGGCTCATGTGTACGACGTGCATTGGGGGGGCTTATGTGTACCACATGCATTGGGGGGGGAAGGCTCGTGTACCACGTGCATTGGGAAGGTTCATGTGTACCACGTGCATTGGGGGGGAGGGCTCATGTGTACCACGTGCACTGGGGGTAGGCTCAGGTGTACCACGTGCATTGGGGGTGGGGGATACACAGTAAGTGAGATAGGGTGACAGGGGGGAGGTTGCAGCGTTACAGGGTGAAACGTGGGGTGACGGGTACAGGGTGACACAGGGAAAGTGACATGGGGTACAGGGTGACACGGGGGAGGTGACCAGTACAGGATGACATAGGGGTACAGAGTGACACGGGGGAAGTGACAGCAGTACAGGGGACGTGAAATGGGGTACAGGGTGACACGGGGGAGGGTGACCAGTACAGGATGACATAGGGGTACAGAGTGACACGGGGGAAGTGACAGCAGTACAGGGGACGTGAAATGGGGTACAGGGTGACACGGGGGAGGTGACAGCGGTACACGGTGACATGGGGTGACATAGGGGTACAGAGTGACACGGGGAGGGTGACAGCGGTACAGGGTGACTTAGGGGTACAGGGTGACAATGGGGAGGTGACAGCGGTACAAGGTGACATAGGGGTACAGGGTGACACGGGGAAGGTGACAGCGGTACAGGGTGACACGTGGGGTGACAGGGGTACAGGGTGACGGGAAGTGACATAGGGGTACAGGGTGACACTGGGGATCTGACAGCGGTCCACAGTAACACAGGGGAAGTGACATGGGGTACAGGGTGACGGGGGAGGTGACATAGGGGTACAGCGTGACACGGGGGAGATGTCATAGAGGTGCAGGGTGACACGGGGAGGTGACATAGTGGGGCGCCTCCTGTGTACCACGTGCATTGGGGGGAGCCTCCTGTGTACCACGTGCATTGGATGAACCTCCTGTGTACCATGTGCATTGGGGGGGAGCCTCCTGTGTACCACGTGCATTGGGGGGGCTCCTTCTGTGTTCCACGTGCATTGGGGGGCCTCCTGTGTAGCACGTGCATTGGGGAGGCCACCTGTGTACCACATGCATTGGGGGGCCTCCTGTGTAGCACGTGCATTGGGGGGCCTCCTATGTAGCCCGTTCATTGGGGGGCTCGTGTACCACGTGCATTGGGGGGTCTCCTGTGTAGCACGTGCATTGGGGGCTCATGTGTACCACGTGCATTGGGGGGGCTTATGTGTACCACGTGCATTGGGGGGGGGACGGCTCATGTGTACCACGTGCATTGGGGAGGAAGGCTCATGTGTACCACGTGCACTGGGGGGAGGCTCAGGTGTACCATGTGCATTGGGGGTGGGGGATACAGGGGAAGTGACATAGGGTGACGAGGGAGGTGGCAGCGATACAGGGTGAAACGGGTGACGGGTACAGAGTGACACAGGGGAAGTGACATGGGGTACAGGGTGACACGGGGGAGGTGACCAGTACAGGATGACATAGGGGTACAGGGTGACACGGGAGAAGTGACAGCAGTACAGGGTGACACAGGGGACGTGACATGGGGTACAGAGTGACACGGGGGAGGTGACAGTGGTACACAGTGACATGGGGTGATATAGGGGTACAGGGTGACATGGTGGAGGTGACATAGGGGTACAGAGTGACACGGGGGAGGTGACAGTGGTACAGGGTGACTTAGGGGTACAGGGTGACAATGGGGAGGTGACAGCAGTACAAGGTGTCATAGGGGTACAGGGTGACACGGGGAAGGTGACAGCGGTACAGGGTGACACGTGGGGTGACAGGGGTACAGGGTGACACAGGAAGTGACATAGGGGTACAGGGTGACACAGGGATCTGACAGCGGTACAGGGTGACACAGGGGAAGTGACATGGGGTACAGGGTGACGGGGGAGGTGACATAAGGGTACAGCGTGACACGAAGGAGATGTCATAGGGGTGAAGGGTGACACGGGGAGGTGACATAGTGGGGCACCTCCTGTGTACCACGTGCATTGGGGGGAGCCTTCTGTGTACCACGTGCATTGGGGGGAGCCTCCTGTGTACCATGTGCATTGTGCACAGGCATATCTAAAAGAGGCCATATTACCTAGATTAGAGGAAGGAAGATTAGCAGTCTTAGATAAACCTATATCGCAAGAGGAAATTCATATAGCATTATAGAATGCAGTGGCAGGAGTCCCAGGCCAGATGGATTTACACTGAGATATTATAGGAAATTTAAAGATCAACTTGTGCCTAAGATGTGTAGGTATATGAATGCATTAGGGGAGGGAGCAGAAATGAGAGAGGAGTCATTGCAGGCACATATCACAATTATACCCAAGTAGAGGAAAGATGCATCCCATTGCACTAGTTACAGACCTATCTCGCTGTTGAATATAGACACAAAATTATACGCAAAGGTCCTAGCAAATAGGATGAAAGGGTTGATATCTGAATTGATTCATCTAGATCAAGTGTGTTTTATCCCAGGGAGAGAGGGAAAGGATAACGGAATAAGATCACTACTTCTGCAAAAAAGCAAGAAAGAGAACTCTATGGCGATGGTGTTATCGATCGATGCAGAAAAAAGCCTTTAATAGGGTAGACTGGGGATTTATGATGGATACATTGGAAATTTTGGGAATTGAACCCAAGATGATACAATGGATCAAAACGTTATATAGTTCCCCCTCAGCAATGATCAAAGCTAATGGCTCGCTGTCACAGCCTTTCAAAATGTACAATGGAACTAGACAGGGATGTCCACTATCTTCCTTACTTTTTGTCATATCATTGGAACTGCTTTTAGCGACGGTGCGTAAGAACAAAGACATAAAGGGTTTCTCTATAGGAGTAGCGGCGTACGCAGATGATATGCTACTTGATATAAAAATCCCAGAGTAACAATACCCAATCTAATGAAAACTTTAAAATACTATGGAGCATTATCAAATTTGAAAATTAACCCCTTGAAGTCAGAGATATTGAATATCAATGTTTCAAAGATAGATAAACAGAGATTACAGGAAGCATTTTCCTTTGTATGGAGGGAAAAATAATTAAATTATTTAGGAGTTAGGTTAACCCCTTCTTTAAAGGATATATAT